TGATTTCTCTGGGTTTTGTAACTTTGTCATCATGCTCTGTCCAGTACTCTAAGCCTCTGTGGAGCCACCCTAATGCTGGAATTGCTCAACACCAGAATGTCATTCCATTAAAAGGAAAAGTGGAACTGTGTGATATCTACTATAGAGTGGGTTCTGCAGCTTTCCTTACCCACCTTTCAAGATGAAGTTCTTGGGGCCTCCCTAGTAGCCTGGGAGTCTCACCACTATCGCCACTATGGCCAGAGTTTGATGCCAACCCACATAGGTCCACAGCAGGCTTTTCCTGTCTCACCCACTACTCACGTTAGTGTGATCTGTCTATTCCTCTCCACACTCTGTATCTGGTGAATCCCCTCATCCCCTGCACCTCTGGCCTACACCCCAGTTCTACAAAAGAAAGAAATTTTTTTGAAGATTTATGTATACAAGAACTGGGGTGCAAGCCAGAGGTGGGGGGTGAGAGGATTCGCCAGAGACAGAGTGGAGAACAGAACAGGTAGATCTATTGAAATCTACTACTGAGGGGAGCAGCACGGAGACAGGAGATGTCCGCTGTGCCATGTGGGTCAGCTCCCTGGCCCGGGATCAAACTCATGCTGCAGTGGCAGAGAATAGCTTCATAGTTCTAAGACTTAACCACTATGTCACCTGGGAGGCCCCTGAATTTTTTTTATTACATTGTTGTTCATCTTTGTACAATATTTGATTGTTCCCCTCATGTATAATCCGTCTAAATCTCTCATCATCACCTCACCTGTGATCTGTCACCATAGTTCCTTGTGCTCCTCCCTCCCCATTTTTGTTCCTCTCCCTCCCATTCCCCTGAGGGGAGTCTCAGATATGTAATTTGCCTGCTAGTTTTATGTTTTACTCCCTCTAACCTTTTGTTCAGTTGTTTCCCTTTATTCCTCCTAGAAGTGAGCAATCTGATATTTATCTTTTTACTTCTACCTTCTTTCAGAACATAATCCCTTCCAACCATCCATGTTTCTGCAAATGTCATGACCATCTTTTTTGATTGCTGAGTAATAATCCATTGGGTATATATAGCAAATCTTTTTCATCCAGTCATCTGTTTTGGGGCATTTAGGTTTGTTTCCATATCTTAGCTATTGTAAAAAGTGCTGCAATAAACATAAGAATGCAGGTTTCCTTTTGAATTCATGTTTTTGTGTTGTTTAAGTAGATTCTGAGGAGTGGAATTGCTGAGTCAGATGGTTGCTCCATTTTTAGTAATTTTAGGATCTTCTATGCAGCTTTCCTTAGTGGTTGGACCAGTTTGCATTCCTCCCAGCAGTGTAAGAGTCTCCCTTTTCTTCACATGGTCAGCAACAGTTGTTGCCAGTTTTTTTTTTAAATAGGAGCCATTCTCCCTGGTGTGAGGTGGTGTCTCATTGGGTTTTCATTTGCATTTTCCTGGTTGTAAGTGACTTTGAGCATTTCACATATACCTGCTGGCCATTTGCATTTCCCTTTGAGAAATGGCTTTTTTGTTCTTCAGTTTTTGACTGGCTTCTTAGCTTTGTGTTTGTTGAGTCTTGTGAGCTGTTTGTAGATCTTTGAAATCAGTCCCTTATTAGTTGTATGGAGTGCAAATATCTACTCCAACCCATAGGGTGTCACTTTGTTTTGGTTATTGTCTCTCTTGCTCTACAGAAGATTTTTAGTTTGATATAGTCGCAGCTGTTTATCTTCTCCTTCATTTTCTTTGGATGTGATATGAGTCCTCACAGATGTTTCTGAGGTGACTGTTAGTTTTTTGCCTGCTTTTTCCTCTCTGTTTTATGGTTTCAGGTTTTCAAGTCTTTTATCCATTTTGAGTTGGTTTTTGTGTATGGTGTGAGGTAGTATTCTAGTTTCATTCTTTTGCATGTAGCTGTCTGGTTTTCCCAGCACCATTTACTTGAGAGACTGTCCTTGATCCTTTGCATATTCTTTGCTCTAAAAGATTCTTGCTTAAGAACTAACATAAAGAAAAATATTATGAAGCCGTGGCTGTCACTGTGACAGGAGGTGCCAGGGTGCTAAATGCAATGTTTTGTCCACATGAGAGAATGATTGATGTGGTTCTAACACATGGTTCAGCTGGTAAATAGCCCATGTAGGTTTATGGGGTTGATAAATACAACACAGTGTTGTCAGCCTATTTTCCTCATCACTTTACTTACATTTCATTTTCCCTAACTTCTGTAAGACACAGTGTATGATTCAGGTGTCATACAAGAGAGCAGTTAATCTATTGCTTTTTAAGGTAACCGTTTGTAGAGTCAGAAGATTTTTTTTAAAGATTTATTTATGCACACAAGAACTAGGATACAGGCCAGAGGTGGGGGGTATGAGAAGATTCACCAGAGACAGAGTGGGGAGCAGAACAGGCAGATGTACTGAAATACACTGCTGAGGGGAGCCGCGGGTGAGACAGGAGAGGTCTGCTGTGTTGTGGGTCAGCTCCGTGGGGGCCAGGTATCGAACTTGTGCTGCAGTAGCTCTCCATAGCTTGATAGCACTGTCTTTAACCCCTGCGCCACCAGGGAAGCCCCCAGATGTTTTTCTTTTGGCAATGACTTAGGAACTATTTTCCAGGAATGGAGGACCTTTGTTTGCCAACCTGGACAATACCTGGAGACTAACTGTAGATTTGCTTCCAATCTGGAACCCTGAAAAATTATCATCTGAGGTTGCACGCCAGCATCAACACAAGACTTTCCTTACCATAGAACTGGTGACAAAAAGTGAAAGCGGGAATTATTAGTGGGAAAGGATGTCCACAACAAACTCCACAAATAGGCTTTATGGACCCCCCCCACCACCACTAAAGAGATCCAAAACCCCAAGGAGTGTAAATTCCATAATGTCATCACTTCTGAAGCAAGGGTTGCTGGAAACCGAGGGTGGAGTTAAGCAGCCAGGTTTGTTATATAACCAGTCATGTGGGCCTTGAGGGGTTTCTGGCGTTTTGCTGGCTCTCAGCCTGCTATTGGGCTCCAGCTCAGTGGAACTGGTTGGACACATTCACCAGTTCGTTCTCTTTCTCCCTGAGTTATTCATTTTTTCATTTCCCCTTACATTGTAAATAAACCCTGTATTAACCTTTTGTGGGTGCCTGCAGTTGAGTTTTATTATAAGTGCCTTTTTAACACATGGGTGAGGACCCACAGTCAGGCCACCTTTTTTAAAAAAAAATTGATTTATTAATGCACACAGAGCTGGAATGTAGGTGTGTATTGAGGGGGTAGCGGTGGGTGGTCAGAGGATTCACCAGAGTGGGGAGCAGAACAGGCAGACTGACTGAAACTGCTGAGGGGAGCAGCGGGGAACAGGAGAGGTCTGATGCGCCATGTGGGTCCGATGCGCCATGCGCCATGTGGGTCTGATGCCCCATGCGCCTCCGCGGATGAAACTCCTGCTGCGGTGGTTGTGGATTGCTTCATAGTGATGCCGCTTAACCCCTTGCACCACCAGGGAGGCCCACAAATCAAGATTTTTATGCGAGTTGTCACTTCCCAAATACTGAACAACTATTTCTAGATTGCCCAGATTCTCAACCCAGCTCCCTGCAGAAGGGCAGCAGGAATGGACACTGTCAGGAATGAGCGAGAGTCCAGGATTCAGCAATTCCTGGTGACATTTCGCTCTGTCCAGGCGCCTCCTTCAAGGCTTTGACCCACATCTATCCCCTCCCACCGGCCCAGGGCCCATCTGTGCGCCCTGCTCCCTCCTGCCTCCCTGGTAGGCCTTCCCGGCACCCTCCTGCTCCTGGCACTGGCTACAGTGAGTTCTCCTCCTTGTCGGCCCTGCTGCCCCTGGACTCTGGTTCAGCTTCGGGGAGTGGGGGTGGGGCCGAGGGTGGAGGTCCGGTGCCCGTGGGGCCACGTTCTTCTCCACTTGGCCCCCCTCGCCCCTCTGAGCCCCACCCCGGGCAGCGGCCACCGCAGGCAGCTCCCTCCTCGCCTGCTCGGTCCCCGCAGCTCCTCATTCCCGCAGCCCCTTTCGGTCCCCGCAGCGATCAGTCCCTGACGATCCCGTGCGGGCGTCTCCCGACACTGCAGTCCCGGACGGCCGCTCAGGGCCAGGGCATCGCCTGGTGGAGACGCCTGGGGCCAAGGTAAAGGGCCCAGGCAGGAGAGGCGGCGGGGCCAGGTGCGCAGCGCCCCCTGGCGGCGGCGGGAGGTGCGGCCCGAGAGGAGACAGGACGGGCGCGGGCGCGGGCGCGGGCGCGGGCGCGGGCGCGGGCGCGGGCGCGGGCGCGGGGCTGAGGGGAGGGGAGAGCCAAGCGAGGAGCCGAGCCCGACGTCTGCAGGGCGTGGGGCAGGTGACCGCAGCCGCTGGGGCCGCTGGGGCCGCTGCGGCCGCTGCTCAGAGACTCCGGCGTGGCCACCGCGCCGACAGCCCCAGAGCCCAGCTGCACGCCTTGGACAGTCGCGGACTCGGGCTTGCGGGCTGACACAAGGGGCCATGACGGCTGTGCGGGCACCGGCGCGATCCCGTCGTGCCCCCGGGAGGGCTTTCAGGGCGGCGTCTGGTCCCACCCAGACCCATAAGCGCCCTGAGGCCACGGGCGGCGGCTCTCGCGTGGGAAGTCTCGCGAGACTGCGCCCGCAGGCCTGAGTCTGGCTGAGCTATCGCCGCCATCTGCAGGACGAGTTCCCCGGTGTCCAGGCCTCGAGGTTCATGTGGTGGGAGGTCTCGCGTGGTTGGCGCCACAGGCACCCTGTCCGGCTGGCAAATCTCGGCAGACGGCGGCCGAGATCTTGCGGGATCTCGCCGCCTTAGCACTAGGGCTCGCCCGCGTGGCCAGCGCAAAGTCCAGAGAGAGCTGGGTGGGATTTGGCGCGCGGTCTCGGGGGCCGAGGTCTCCAGAGTCCTGCCGAGTCCTGCCGAGTCTTGCCGGGTCCTGCCGAGTCCTGCCGAGTCCTGCCGAGTCCTGCCGAGTCCTGCCGGGAGCCGCCCGAAGCCGTCGTCCCTCCCCCTCCCGCCTCTGCCCCCCCCCCCCCCCCGCCCCGCGCCACCTTGAGTCCGTCCGTCGTCATTTGATTGATGCTGGTTTTAGTGGGCAGTTTCTTCTGTTGGTTCAGCTTGAGTTACAGGAGTCTGGTGTGTAGAGTCATCCTTCACTCCACATTGGTTTATCACAGGTGATTATTGAAGGCTCCGTCGATTGCTTTTCTGGCATAGGCTTTGTCTTGTATCCAACACATTTATTTTCTGTATTTATTTCTATGAGATGTATCTCACAAATTGTTTACTCGCATCCTCGTTCTTCGGTTGGCTCCAGAAATGATTGGTTTCATTGGTGTTTTTGCAGCCATCCCTGTTCTGGAGGTTTGCATTCCTTCTGCAGCTTTTTCCATCAAATGTGCACACGTCATGTCTTTGTGCATGTTAGTATGTACAGCATCAGAACGTTTGTGTCTTTTTTCTTGGTGTCTGTAAGCGTCATAAAAGGTTTGGTGTCACGGTGTTGTGTTTGCAGATTGCTAATGACCGTTGATGCTGTTGCTAGTGAAGCGAATACTGCATTGATTGCTTCCATGGGGTCGTTTCTTCATTCTCTTAGTTTTGTTAATTGAAGCTGGACTTATTTTTGCAGCATTTGCAATGTCACCTGCAGCTAATGCACCTATTGCGATCCATTCAAACATTTCTCTTTTTTGGTGATGAAAAGTTTTATACTGTGGTGGCCTAGATGCTTTGTGGAAGCATCATATGGTTGTATGCTGTATGTTCACAATACTTAAATTGTGCTGGGAATGAGAAAAGCATGGTGGAGAAAGTAATTTTATATTTTACCACATCAGGTAAATGATTGACAATGATTGAGATAGGCAAGTTGAGGTTTGGGGTGACCAGTGGTGCTATGCTCTCCATGAATTCTCCTGTTAAATTTCTGAATGCATATCCAGGCTTGTAATGAGCTGTTACAAGTTTGTGGGTGTATTTGTATTTCCTTCTTTCTATTATACATGGTTTTTCTGTTCCTTCGTTAATAGAGCATTTTATAAAGGAAATGGAAAGTCATCTATTTTCTGTTGATAGTACACTTGCCATGGTCCAACATCAAACATATGATTTCAAATCGGAATTTTATAGAGCATATCAAACAATGTCCATTTTCCCATGTGTGATAGTATCATCTGGAAATTGTGTGGTACATTTCCTAGTTCTGTTTGTCTTGTTATTTACTTCTCAAATAGGATATCTCAGTCTTGGTTGCTTAAGTTCATCCATAGAATTATAATGCATTTTGGGGCATCCAAAAATGTGGAATCCATGCTTATCTGTTGTGCACGGGATGTATTCCAATGTTGCTGCATTATATGTGTTGTGATCCAGGTTCATATTCCTATTTGCATTCATGTCCTTCATCTAACAAGTCTGGGTCGTACCAGAATTGGCTCCATGCTGGAAAGAACTTGAACTTTAAGGCATGTTCACAACTGAATTCTGTGAATGTTCCTGCTTTGGACATGTCTTTCGTTGTTGTTTGTATTTTTGATAGTTCGGCGGCATTTCCAAATGTTTTATTTATATGCAATATTTTTCTATGTTCTTGTCTTAATGGTTTCCAAAAAGTAAGGAAAATTGCTGATCTCCATGATTCTATTTGTTCCCAGCCATGTGCTTTCTCTCTGTGAAAGTGGGTGTACTATTGCTAGTGGGGAAGCATTGGTAGAGCCAATGACTGTATCTTCTATTTGCTTTGTAGAATTCTTCACTCAGTTGCTGGTATATGTTGATGTCCGCTCTAGAGCAGATCCGCTCTAGAGTAGAAGGCGTATTTAGTGTAAAGGATTGCACATTATAGGCAACACTTTTGGCAAGTTGTCTGTGGTCAGAGTACCCGGAGATGTTGTGTGATGGGTCAGGATATGTCCGAGTAGTTCCTGGAACTGGAGGTTGAGTTGTTGGTGTTGTTGCTGCTGCATCTGACAATGATGTTTTGTCTCCAGTTACCAAATGAATAGCGCAGAGAGCAAGTAAGCAGCAGCAAAGAGCAGGAGGGGCCTGTTCTCCATGATTGTAAAAGGTCATGTCTATGGCAGCTATTGGATGGGGTTTTTTTAAAAGATTTATTTTTATTAATGCATACAAGAACTGGGGTACAGGACAGAGGTGTCGGGGGTAAGAGGATTCACCAGAGACAGACAGGCAGATCTACTGAAATACACTGCTGAAGGGAGCAGCGGGCGAGACAGGAGAGATCTGCCGTACCATGTGGGTAGCTCCCTGGCTAGCCGGGTATCGAACTCCTACTGCAGTGGCTGTGGACAACTTCATAAGTTGCATCTTAACCCCTTGCACCACCAGGGAGGACCATCCTTTGGATAGTTGATGAGAGTTTTACTCTTCTTCCATCATATCACACAAATGATCTGGGTATTTTTTCATGGCATACACCAAAGTTGATCCAATTCCACTGTTTGATTGATATTACACTGGAGGAGTATTTCTTGTGTTTCTTGTATTTCTTGTAAGTTCTGACGCTTGTTCATCCAGATCTTGTTGTATTTGAAGAGCAGTGATGTCTTCGTCTCTTGATCCCCTTCGATTATGTCTATGTCTGAGTTTTAGTCTTATTTTAGGATTGGAAATGGAGGTGGGATGGGTCCCTATGAGTCATTTGGGTATACTGTAACCAATTCCCTATTCGGGCGTATGATGTTTCCTGGTAACAGAAAGTCATGTTCTGGGCATTTTCTGTATACACTTATTATTCCTCCATATTAATCTCTTAATGTCGATGTAGTTTCTTGTACCGCTGTTACAGTTAGTTCTTTCTAACACTGAAGGTTTCTATCAGGCATAATGTGTGATTAGTAAAGAGTTTGGTTTGCCAGGTGTCAGAATGATTGTCAATTCTTTGAGGACAAAATGTATAATGTCATGTGATGGGTATTGAAGACAATGTGAAGCAATGCAGAAGTATAAGAAGAATGAATTTCTTTTTTAAAATTTTTTTAAAGATTTATTTATTTATAGAAGAACTGGGGTACAGGTCAGGCGCGGGAGGGTGAGAGAATTCACCAGAGACAGAGCAGGGAGCAGAACAGGCAAGCAGACCGAAGACACTGCTGAGAGGAGCAGCGGGCGAGATAGGAGAGGTCTGCTGTGCCATGTGGGTTTCTCGCTGGCCACCTGGGAATTGACCCTGTGCTGCAGAAGCTGCGGACAGCTTCACAGTGCAGCACTCAACCCACTGCGCCACCAGGGAGTCCCTTAAATTTATTTTTCTATGTTTATTTTTTTTTTAAGATTGATTTATTTATGCATACAAGAGCTGGGGTGCAGACCAGAGATGCGAGGGGTGAGAGGACTCACCAGAGACAGAGTGGGGGGCAGAACAGGTAGATCCACTGAAATCCACTGCTGAGGGGAGCAGCAGGGAGATAGGAGAGGTCTGCTGCGCCATGTGGGCCACCTCCCTGGCCAAGGATTGAACTTGTGCTGCAGTGGCTGCTGATAGCTTCATAGTGCTGAGACTTAACCCCTGTGCCACCAGACAGGACCCTGTGACTGTTTTAAAGACAGAAGAGAGGGTGGCTTCAGAGGGAGTTTGAAATGTGCTGGAAAAAGGAAGGAATAGTAACTGATTGGACTCCAGGGATAGCTCCTTTTGGGGACCTGGCTTTTGAGAGAATTTCTGTGATCCCCTTAAAATCTGTTCAGCCCCAGACCTCTGTCTCATAAACAGCTTCATATCCACCTATCCAGTCAAGCCGGAGCCTTAGAACTCACCCCAACATCCGGGCCACCCACCAGGACTAGTGTTTTACCAAATGAATGGTCCTCCATCCTACTATGCTCCTGACTCAAATCTGCAGGATGGGGCAGGTCACCCTCCTTCCTCCATTTCCAGAGCCTCCAGCTGGTCCAGACCACCACGATGTCCTGCCTGAACGACATCTAACTGCCTTCAAAGTTTCCGCTCACTCCATCTCAATATATACTCCACAGAATAGAACAATCCTGACAGTTAAGAACTTATAACTTCCTCCTACCTATCCGGAGCCGTCTGGAGCATGCGCCATGTTGCGTATGTATGCCATGAGTTAAGTTTCGCTTTACCGTTTCGCTTTCGGAGAACCACAGGTTTTTCCTGTAAATCACATGAGACTGGGAGGTACGGGGGGAGGAGCTACGAGGGTATAAGAGGAGAACGCGGGAGAGAGGGAGAGAAGAAAAGAGATTTAAGAGGAGACCCACGAGAGAGGAGAGTGCTGCGAGAGGAGCAGAGAGAAGGCCAGGGAAGTAAGAAAGACAGGGAAAAGAAAGACATGGAAAAGTAAGAGAAGGAAAGGGAAAAATAAAGAAGCATGCGCTAGCGTCAAGTTGTCTCAAGCCCCTCATTTCATCCTCAGCCCTTCTCTTTTCGTGCCTACGAATCCCGCGGGTCGGGACAGGTGGCGCCCAGCGTGGGGCACGAAAAAGAACGAAGGAACCGCTGAAGGACCAGCTGTGGTGAGCCGGCAAGTAAGGGTAGGTAGCTGGGAATCATGGGCAATTCAATGTCCAAGGGGCGGTTAGTTATTTCCCTGGAAGCTCTCCTAAAATAGTTTGGGGTTCCTCTTAGTAAGAAAAATTCTTAAAAGATTTGTAGAGACCCTTAGTATCACTAGTAAGTGGTTTCTGGAGCAGGGTCAGGTCGACAGTGCCAATTGGAATAAGGCAATAGGAGATAGAGGAGGAGCCGACATTCAATTAACAAAGGTCATGCGAGGGTCGACAGAACCATATGCGGAGTTCCTAGCAAAACTGATGACTGCAGCTGGCGGATTCTAGGGAACACTGATGCCTCCCTACCGATAGTTAAACAGCTTGCATTTTGAAAATGCTAATAAGTGGTGTTAGGAAGCTATCAGACCCTGGAAAGCTCGGGCTAGTTTGTATGAGTATGTGAGACTTTGTTAGGATATTTGTGTATGTAATAATCGTTCATGTCTGGACTGGTGCCCTTTTGCCCTGGTGGGCCAGGGTGAGGTGAAATTATATAATGGCACTTACTCTGCAAACCGTACCTTTGAACAATCCGTTAGTGTCCAGAATAATGGGTCGGAGAGTTTGTCTGCTGCTGTCTGTTTGTCCCCTCCCTTCTTTCTTGTCCTCTCCAGTAATGCAGGAAATGCAACTGTGTTGAACTGTTCAGCGGAGACCTGCGCCCTCTCTGCCTGCTGGGCCTGGAGTGCGGAGAGGGTGGTGATGGTTCGTCTGCCTTCTACTTTAATCATGCCCATGATTGTTTCTGCACACCTTTCCCCTGTTCTACCTAAGAGGAGACGTGATTTTAGCATCACTGCAGCTATTGTCGCCATTTCAATAGCGGTGGCCGCGGCTGTGGTTGCTGCCGCCGTTGCTGTCACTCAAGCTGCTGCAAATATGGACACTATGGACAATTTAGCTGCCGGTGTTGCTTCTGCGTTGTCAACACAGTAAGATATGAATGGACATTTGCGGAATGGACTTTTCGTGCTTGGTCAGCAGATAGCTCTAATGTAAAAAGGGATAGACACACTTTTGTTAACTGCTCACATACCTTGTAACCCTCTGTACCATTTTATTTGTGTTACCCCTGTTACGGGTGAGGGTCTCATTGCCTGGTTTAGAGGACTCCTCCCAGAGTTGCAAGCTTGGGGCAGGGTGGTAGCCTTAGCTCTTGGCTTTTTGCTGTTTGTACATTCGGCATATGGTTTCTCTGTCGGCTACGGAAGCGAAACAAAGAACATGCTATTGCGGTCAGGCAAGCACTTGGCACCATGGTACTTGACCAGGACTCCCCAGTGGCACCTGGATGGGTCAACTTAGTCCTAGAGAACCTGTGAGACAAAGACGGGTAAGAGCGTAGCCCGTCCAGACCAAACTAAGACAGCGGTCCGGACCAAGTGCACCGGACTAGCAATGACGGGTAAGACTGGTCACGGGATGTGCCAACCTAAGACAGGCCAGGTGTCTCATTTAAAAGAAAAAAGGGGGAGATGTCCGGAGCCGTCCGGAGCATGCGCCGTGTTGCGTATGTATGCCATGAGTTAAGTTTCGCTTTACCGTTTCGCTTTCGGAGAACCACAGGTTTTTCCTGTAAATCACATGAGACTGGGAGGTACGGGGGGAGGAGCTACGAGGGTATAAGAGGAGAACACGGGAGAGAGGGAGAGAGAAGAGAGATTTAAGAGGAGACCCACGAGAGAGGAGAGTGCTGCGAGAGGAGCAGAGAGAAGGCCAGGGAAGTAAGAAAGACAGGGAAAAGAAAGACATGGAAAAGTAAGAGAAGGAAAAGGAAAAATAAAGAAGCATGCGCTAGCGTCAAGTTGTCTCAAGCCCCTCATTTCATCCTCAGCCCTTCTCTTTTCGTGCCTATGAACCCGCGGGTCGGGACACTACCTTTGCTTCAAATCCCTCATTCACCTTGGAATAACTCCCGTCTCTTTGGCCTGACCCAGAGTGACTGGTGCTCTCAGTCATCTCTCACGTAACAGTGGCAATGGTGCCCTCCCTTCCAGTTCCTCCTGCCACTGTTGTGCCTGGTTCACTCATCATTTCCTCAGAGAGGTCATCCCTAGTGTCACCATGTTACTTTTATGTCAGTGCTCTGGTCTTTGCCTTCCTCATGTTTTTGGCAGGATTGTTGTTTGTGACACTACGTAGTAACTGTTTGTGCTTTTATTTGTTGACCATGTGAGTCCCCTACTGGATGGCATCTGACTTGCAGAGAGGACTCAGCAGGCGTTACCCAAAGCCGGAGTCGGGGGGAGTGAAGGGGGAGGACAGTCGCTGGTGGTCATGGGACTGTGACCCCTGTCTCTGCTCTCCTCTTCACCTTCCTCTCTGGCTTTTGCAGCTCATGTGATCTTGGCTGAAGTCCTTAGGCTTGATCTGTGAGCCTCAAAGATAATGGGCTGTTGTGTTCCTTGTAGACCTCCTCAACAGGATGTGGTCTCTGTGCTCCTCCTTGGAATTAGCATGAGCACCTCCACTCAGCTCCAAGCACACAACCACAGCAGAGCACCAGGCAGACCAAACACACGAGGCAGCTACACCATTTTGACAATACAATTTGGGCCATAGCGATTGTCACTGTCCTTTACTGAGCTGTACTGAGGATGAAGACAATGTAAATTGAGCTGTTCTTAGATCAAGTTCTGGTGATATTGTAAACACCCTCAAATACTCAGTTTTAAAAATTCTTTTATATGTTGTTTTGTTTTCTTTCTATTTTATAGTCAATTTTCTTAGATTCTTCCCATCACTTGCTATTAATGCTATCTAACCCTCTGCTGTATTTTTGATTTATTTATATTTATTTTCTTACATCATTGTTCATTTTTGCAGACAATATTTGACTTCTCCCTTCAGGTGTAGTCCCCATAATTCTCCCCCCACCACAGCACCCATGAACCATCAGCATCGCTCCTTGTGATCTTCCCTCACCTGATTTGACCCCCCACTCCCTCCACTGCTGTATGCCCCAGACCTATGGGTGCCTGCAAGTTTTATCTTTTTTCCTGACCCTTTATTCAATGTCCCTATATTCCACCTGTAAATGAAGCCATCTGATGTTTATGTTTATGTTTCTCCTTCTGACTTATTTCAGTGAGCATCATCCCTTCCAGCTCCATCCATGTTGCTATGAGTGGCATGAGTTTGTCTTTTTGATGGCTGAGTAGTATTCCATTGTGTATATAGGCCACATTTTGATCCGTTCATCTGTTTGGGGCATTTAGGTTGTTTCCCTGTCTTGGCTATTGTTAATGGTGCCACAGTGAACATAGAAGGGCAGATTTCCTTTCAGATTAGTGTTTCTGTGTCCTAGGAGTGGGATCACTGGGTCATATGGCAAGTCCATCAAATATTAGTTATTAATGGGCAGAATAAACTGAATACCTCCTTGCCACTAAAGAAGTCAAGTATTTACCACTTGTCCTTGTGAAATTGAAGTCGCAGGGCATACGGTGGGGAGCACAGCCAGCTTGGCCTTGGCCACCCCTGGGGGCAGAGTCTGGAGGCTGAGCTCCCCCCATCATTTATTGAATAATCTGTTGAGTTCTACTTTCTGTTCCAGAAAGGAATGTGTTTTATGTTCTAAATTCTCAATAAGACATCTGGGTCTATTTCTAGACCATCTGTAATGGAAGCCCTGTGGGGACTGGTCACTGCAGGTTTAAAGAGTGTTTCTAGTCGGGAGAGACATGGATGCCCGGCCGACAGCTCACACGCATGTTCATGCCCATGTGCTTGGCTCGTGCGTTGTTCTGTGGGATCCCATGCATGTGCGCAGCACCCCACCTAGTGAGGGACACCCCTTCATTTAGACCAGGGTGTTGTTGACCATGTTTGGGGACATCTGTGGGTGTCACAACTGGACGGAGAGTGAGAAGACCACCACCATTCAGGGGGAGAGACCAGGGAAGCTCTCTGATCCCCAATCATGCCCAGAACAGCTCCCTCCCCACAAACAGCCAGAGCAGTGGTGCAGGGCCTGGAGGCAGTGGCCAGTGCGCCCGCCCTTGGTAAAGCTAAAGCGGTGGCACCTGCTGCATTCCTCACCCCACCCCACCCCCACCCCCGCCCCCAGCCCTCCAGCCGCCTGCGGGAGGCTTCCTGGGCACCAGCCAGTGGGCAGCTGAGCCCGGGTCCGGGCTGGCCAGAGATGCCACCTCTGGGCAGCGCCAGGCAGGCAGCATCGGGGAGCGGCAGGACACGCGGAGGGCCCCCAAGTGGCCATTCCCCCAGTAGGTCTGAGCACAGCCCCACCCCCACCCCTGGCTCCCCCTCCCGGAGCGGAGCGGTGCAGAGGGAGGCGCCTGTACTCACCCCCACCCCAGGCCCTGGGGCGCGGCTGCGCAGAGACGCCCCCGGCAGCAGCAGGGCGTGGGGAGAGGGGAGCGGTGGAGACGGGGCTCCGGGCCACTGCGCAGGGTGGAGCTGGAGCAGCCTCTGGCTGGGGAGCTGCGGGGAGAGGCCGGGGAGCTGGGCCGGCTTGGGGCTCCCCTGCGCCTCCAGAGCTGTGGGCACACGGGGGCGGCTCCCCGGGCAGGGGGCGCTGGTACCCGCGACACTGCCTCCTGGGACCGCGGGGACCGGGCCGTGGGAGGCGGCCAGGGCAGCGTTTTCCCTTGGCTTGTGCTTGGATTTTGCTCCTTTTCCTTCAGCCAATCCTGGCCCTCCTGCCCCTTTCCCGGGATCCCTGCCAGAAGGGGCTGAGACTGCGGCAGCTCCGGGCCTCAGCGGCTGTGTTTGGGCCACCCCTGTCGGGCGGAAATTTACCCACAGGGTGGAGACTTGGGGTGTTTCGTCGGAAACGCTACCTTTTTTAACTCTGTCCTTTCCCTTCTCTCTTGCACACCGACCCTGTTAAGATATTTTCTATGGAAGGTCTTTCACTCTAAGGGTATGTTTTGTCTACAAGTGGCAGACGGCAGAACCGATTTAGGGTGTACAGGGTTTGGGGGTTCAGGTGCCTCTGAGTCTGCCCCTAACACTGCTGCATGCCGCTGCCACTAAATATCCCTTTCCTTTTCTCACGGAGCTTTACCTCTTCTCACCCCTTAGGTAATTCCTTTAAAGTCCTTTTTTCTCTGCTTGTTGGGGGGCCTTGCCCTGGATTCTTCAGCGTGTGGTGAAGACTCCTCACCTGGGTCAACCCTTTCCTTCAGGTTTGCCCTGTGACACCTTCTGTCTGTCGCCCATTTTGTAAACTACTCTGGGTATGTGTCAGGATCTTTTAAAGAGGAAAAGTAATTTCCCCTCTGTTCTGCAGGGTTCTTGATGGAGGCCTTCCTGTAATAAAGGGCCAGTTAGTGGGAGAAAAATACATTTGAATGAACATGGACACCTGTTTGCACACCTGGGGAAGACCCAGGAAAACTGAGTAACCTGCCAACTTGGTCTCAGCCCCCTCCTCAATAACATCTTCAACTGCAGACAAAGGGCAGAGGATGGGGGGGTCAGCTCTGGGGGGCACCTGGAAGCTCAGAAACAAGGGTGTGGGTTGTGCAGACGGAAGGTGCCGCCACCTTCTCTGATAAGGGATGGAGCGATTAGGTCAGTGCCTTCTAGCCTGAAAACCTGGGAGCCTCCTCAGATGGGGAATGTTCCTTTATTTGTGGAAATGAGTCTTATAAAAGGGAAACCTCCACCTGCCTGTCAGAGCCTCCCCCCGCATCTGATTCCAGAAATGACCAGTAAATATAATCCTCCTGTCAAAGAGGCGCCTTGTAGAACCGCGAATTTCCTCCATCCACATTGCTGCAAATGGCTTGAGTTTATCTTTTTTGATGACTGAGTAGTGTCCCATTATGTATATAGACCCCATCCTGTTCCCCTTGACTGTTCTGGACCATACAGGTTGTTTCCAAATCTTAGCTAGTGTAAATAGTGCTGCAGTGAGCATAGGACCCGCAGGTTTCTTTTCAGATTAGTGCCTTTGTGTTCTTTGTTGATTTTTTTAAGGTTTATTTATTTATGCATACAGGAGCTAGGGTGCAGGCCAGAGGTTTGGGTAAGAGGATTCACCAGAGACAGAGTGGGAAGCAGAACAGGTGGATCTACTGAAATACATGGCTGAGGGGAGCATCAGGGAGACAGGAGAGGTCTGCCGCGCCATGTGGGTCATCTCCCTGGCTAGGGATCAAACTCAGGCTACAGTGGCTGTGGATAGTTTCACAGTGCTGAGGCTTAATCCCTTGTGCCACCAGGGAGGCCCCTCATTTGTGCTCTTTTGGGTAGATCCCTAGGAGTGGAACTGCTAGGTCATGTGGAAGATCCATTTTCAGTCTTTTGAGGACTCGCCACACTCCTGTCCATAGTGACTAGACTAGTTCATAGTCCCAACAGTGTGAGGGTCCTTTTCTCCACATCGTCTCCAGCACTTGTTTGTGTCTTTTTTTGGACTATGGGCCATTCTCACAGTGTGAGGCCATGTCTCATGGCTTGGTTTGCATTTCCCTGATGATAAATGATAAAGACAATTTTTTCATGTGTCTGTTGGCTGTCTTTATGTCTTCTTTGGAGAAGTGACTATTTAGCTCCTGTTCCCATTTTTGATTTGGTTGTTTTCATGTTGTTGAGTTGTATAAGTACTTTGTAGAACTTTGATATTAGTTCCTTATCAGATGTAGATCTTTGATATTAATTCCTTATCAGATTAATTCCTTATCACTCTTCCATTCAGAAGGGTGTCTGTGTGTTTTGGTCACTGTCTTTTTTGCAGTACAGAAAAACTTTAGTTTGATATAGTATCCATTGTTTACTTTCTGCTTTATTTGTTTCTGAGATTTATGTTAGGGAGCATTCTGCATAGGTTTCTCTCTATGTATTTGATGGTTTCAGGTCTTATATCCAAGTCACTTCTCCATTTTG